TCAAAATTTCAGAAATTTGACTAATAATCATGTGCCATAGAACAATAGAATACAACACTTTTAAACAGTATTTTATTTTGTCTACCAGCCTGAACATTCAAGAATTATTATTAGAGAAAAAAATGTGACCTCTTTCCAGAAGAAACTCATTAGGTCCTATTGGTTTTAAGCATTTTGGCTACAAAGAATATTGTAAAGGTTCTCTTTTGCCTTTTAAGCACACTATTCCAAGTTTGACTCTTTGAAAGTTCATAACTGTTCAGTTTTGTATTTGAAATGTAAACAAAGCAATTTTTAAAGAAATGATAGATTTTTATTTATTAATCTGACTTTTCTCAATTTTCTTATTGAACAAACTTGTTTAAGATCAAAGCCATATATTGCTGAAGCCTGAATGAAATCAACACTATTTTTTAGTGTGCTAGCAGCATATCAATGATGTACTGATGTGTTTCGCACAGTTTTCTGACAATATCTTTTATCAATTGTTTTGATATTGTCTGAAACACAGGTGTTTTAGCCTGGAGTGGCTGTCAGTGAATAAGTCACACATACTCTTACTCCTGTAGTGAGTTTAATTCTTATCAGATGTCCCAAATTTATGTCTGTATTTTAGACAAAATTTGGTAAATGCATTAAAGCACTGACAGTGACTTGATGGTTTCAGTTACCTCATAATTCTTAACTTGCTTCACCATTATTTTTTTAAAATCATTTCACCCCAAACAAGACAATAAAGCCACTAAGACATAAGAGGTTAGAGAATATGAGAACAAAAATACTATTAAGGAAAGCAGACATTAAAAGAACAAAAATTAAGAAAACAGAAGATAACACTTGACATTATATTTAAATTTTTGAAGATCTGAGTTACTGGGAAGCAAAAAGCTTATGTTGTCTCTTTTGTGGTCGGGGCACTTAGAACTATTTACAAGAATCTTTGTGACTTTTAAAGACTTTTTTTTCATCCCAAACAAAGCAATAAAGCCACTAAGATACATGTGTTAGAGAATATGAAAAAAATATTCGACAGAAAACAATAACAGAACATAAATTAAGAAGACAGTAGATAAAGGTTGACATTGCATTTAAATTTTTGTAGATCAAAGTGAGAAGGTTGATAGAAGAAACAGTTAGCATAGAACTTATGGTTACATCTCACCATTTCAACCGTAAAATAATAAGACCTTGCCACCAATTAATTGTAATTAAACCTAGTGAATAATTGTTAAAAACACTTGTCTGACAAGTAATTACTTCTACAGTGAGGTTGTTCTTGCAATATATTTGAGTCTTGTACAAAGGCAAGACAAACTTAATAAATACAAATATTGTACAAAACATGTTGAGAGAGGGTGCCAAAACCAGTCTTGAAAATTTGCCAGTATTTAACATGCACAGCTGCTACAGACTCCAATATGTCTGATCACATTGCCTGGGGTAACTGCTGTACTGACAGAACCTAGCCACTGTGCCTACAAACAAACTCAGATCATCAAACCTTTTGGAATCATATCTCATAGTTGGAATCAGACCAAATTCTTATGATCTTACAGAGAGTGTTTTCAAACTCATTCTTTCTCTTTCCCTGCCATTCAACTGAGAATTGGTCAGGAACATAATGTTTGGATATCTTGGTGATGGCAAAAATTCATGATGTACTACTGACAAGCCTTCTCACTCTGAGAAATTTGAAACGTATTTTATTTGCTTTTTGATATCCCATTTAAAAATATTAGATAGCATCTCATGTATCAGTAATATGGAGGAACTGCAGTAGTAGTTCTTAACATGACTTTCATTTTTGATTTAAAAAAAAAAAAAGAAGGGATGTAAGCAGTTTGTGGTTACAAGTCTCTTGAAGGCTGGTGAATATAGTAATTGGTTTAAATATATCTTGACTTATATTGCTAGTCATCCATAAGTTATTATAATCAAGCAATGGAAAAAGTCAGGAGAATAGGTAATCGAGTTATCTAGAATGGGGAGATATGGGGACTCTTATTGAAAGTATCTCTGTCTGGTGCCTAAGGAGGACTACCTTGATAGCCCATCCTACTGAGTAGGGTTGATTATCTGCCTCTCTGTGTGTATGTATATACATACATACATGCATACACACACACACACACATACACACTGAGTTTCTCTGGTAACAGTGTCACTATTGCCTATAACCATTCTCCGAAGTTAGTCAATGTCAACTCTGGTCAGCACCTAGAGGTGTGACCATTTTGAAATATCAGGCGGTGTAATGGATAATAACTCAGAATTGTTAATCAGAGAGCCAAGTTCTAATTCTAGCTGGGTTTGTTATATTCACTTACACATACCTTTTGGAAACATTTGAATTAGTAAGACTTGTATTACTAAATCATTATCCTCCACCCAAATTCCTACAATCTAAAAATATTTTCTTTTTTTAAATAATCTGCAAATGGTTGATAAGATATAAGAAACTAACCAATAAATCAAATATTCCTCCTATTTATATAACTGTGCTTTATATATATATATATAGTTGGATTGATGTGGGTTTGTGTCGCTGGGTTTCACACTACTTGCGATTATCAAACGATATCTCATATATAAATGATATATATAAAAAATTGCATATATACATATGTATTTATTTATATACACACATATTTCATACATATATATATATATATATATATATATATGCTTTGAACAATAAACATTTTTAAAAATTAAGATCTTCAGACAAACTGGGTTGTATATCAATATTCCTTCATTTTTATTATTATTTCATTTAGATTCCTCAACTAGTTTTGGCCAGCATGGTCATCATCTGGAGAAAAAAGAATTTTTCTGCTTGCTAGTCACAGTGAACTACAGAAATGAATGTCTTGATGGAGAAAATGAACTTTTGTCTGTAGTTTTCATTTGTTTTTTTATTTTTTTAACATGAATTTTGGTCAGTCTCTTTTAAGTTGTTATTTAAGATAAGAATGGAAGAGCTTATATATATATATATATATATATATATATATATATATATATATATATGTGTGTGTGTGTGTATATCTAGTAGACATTAAGTTTGGTGGTTGTCAACATGTTGATTTGGGAATGTTTTTATGTAAACACTATTTGTTTTAGATAAACATTAGATACTATAAGAATGGATTCAATAAAGGTTGATGATATACTGTTTTTGAGGTGTCAATATAGTTGGTAAAATATTTTATTATTCCCTCAAAGTACTTCTCACATAAAGAATTGTGTTCTTTATTAATTAGGGTGGCATTTGCTAAATCTATCCATCTATCTATCTAGAATGGATCCAGTATATATCTATTCTTTAAGAATGGATCTAAAATATATCTATTATATATATATATATATATATATATATATATAGATAATAAAGTTCAGTGATAATCCAACAAAATAGTAAATATGTAAAACAATTTGAAAATTACTGACTGTGATATGTTTCACCTACGAACTGCTGTCATCAGAAAAATAACCTTTTTTTCGTCAAAGCCAAATCTAGATTAGAAAAAATGAAAATAAAACTTGAGTTAAAATTATTTCAAATCTATACCATACAGTTAAAGTAGAATGCAAATGCTCAACCACCCAACAAAACTCAGATTTTTTTTTGCTAGTAGATGATGTGGTCTGAGGGAGGTGACAAAGGGAAGGGACTTGTTGAGAGCTGCAAAAGATAGAGAGAGGTGGAGAGTCATGATCACCTACACAGGACACAGCACATAGAAAGAAAAGAATGTAGATTTTGCGAAAATAAAATTCTTTTTCTGATGCAAGTTCATCTGCGAAACATGTCAAAATAGGTTTCCCAAATTGTCTTATATATTTATCATATATATATATATATATATATATATATATATACACACACCCACATGCACAGAAAAATAGACAAAGAGACAAGCAGGTTGTAGGTAGGGACAAGACAAGATGATCAATGAATAATCATGAATTATTTTTATTCATGACTTATACGCTCTTTGACACCTAATCATAACTTAAGCTCTCTCTAATTCCTTCTCTGTTCTAAAAATGGATAGAATTCTTCAGATACTTAACCATCTACTAATCTCTTTTTTTTTTATAAGTGCACTTACATTTTATATATATATATATATATATATATATATATAAAACACCCACACATATGTAATGTAATCTTTCTATAAATCCTACTTGCATAATGGTAAATAAAATCATGAAAAAATAAAATTTTTATCGGCACCATCTTTGCACACTCATAGATTAGGGTTCCTGATATCATGAATAACATGATGGTGGATGTAATGCCGATGATGCAGGGGTCATGTTGGGCCTTTCCTGCTAGTGAACCTGCATCCATCACACTGCAGTGATGTATCTCAGCTGCCTGCTTAACTGATGATGATGAAGAAATGTAATTACTCTTGTGAGCTTCTTGGGAATCGACCTTGCTCTGGCTTCCGAAAAATTGGATTCCCTGATGGTTATCCACAAGTGACAAAGGCTGTTTCATGTGTATGACTAATACCCTGCCAAAAACTTTACATATAAAGAAACAAAATATATATATATATATATATATATATATATATATATATATATATATATATGATAAATAGAGAAGGTGTTGAAAAGAAAGAAAATGTGTTAAAAATAAGAGAAAAGGGAAGAAAAAGGTGTTTAGCAGAATAAAAAGTAAGTAAGAAAGAAAAAGAAAAAAATGAAAAGGTGTTAAGGAAAGAGAAAAAGGAAGAAATAAGGAAAAGGTGTTAAAATAGAAACAAAAGAAAACAAAGGAAGGAAGAGGGTGAAAATTTGTTAAAACAGGAAAAAGTAAGAATTACAATGAAAAGGTGACAAAGCAAGAGTAAAAAGTAAGAAAGAAAGAAAAAAAAAAGAGTGAATAGTTGTTAAATTAGAAGAAAAATAAAGAAAATTATTACAATTGGAGAAAAAGATAAAAGTATTAAAACAAAGATAAAAAAGAAAATGAAAGGTGGTTAAGTAGAGGTAAAAGAAAAGGAAAGGTGGTTAAGTAGAGGTAAAAGGAAAGGTGGTAAAGTAGAGGTAAAAGGAAAGGTGGTAAAGTAGAGGGAAAAAAGAAAGGTGGTAAAGTAGAGGGAAAAAAAGAAAGGTGGTAAAGTAGAGGTAAAAGGAAAGGTGGTAAAGTAGAGGTAAAAGAAAAAGAAAGGTGGTAAAAGGAAAGGTGGTAAAGTAGAGGGGAAAGGAAAAGAAAGGTGGTAAAGTAGAGGAAAATGGAAAAATAAAAGTGTTAATTCTGAAGAAAAATGAAACATTGTTAAAACAGAAAGAATGAAAAAGAACAAAGAAAAAATTGAACAAAAAAAACAATAGTAAAGGTAAATATAAAAAAAAAGAATTTGGGGTGAAAGAACAAATAAGTTGCAAAAAGTGTCTGAAAGAAAGAAAACATGCTGAGAAACTGGAAATGGAATGAAAAAAAAGAAAATGCTAATCAATTTCATGTGAAAAAAATTGTGGAGTAAATCAAACGATGTTTGCATGGGCTGAAGATATTCATTGCAGTAAACATTTTTATTTTATTTTGAAGCTATTAACTTATTCATGGTTATTTATTCTTTCTTTCTACTTTTTTTTAATTGATAGGGTAGATGGCATAAAAAAAATCAACAAATTTGCAAAGAATTTTCTCTCATCAGTTTCACAGGAAAGAATCTTTTTTGCATGAAAGCCAAGCATAGAACATATATTAATGTTTTTTTTTGTTTTTTTTTTTGCAGTATATTTTTATTTGTGATTTTTGTTATATATGTATCTTTTTGCCTTTCTCAGGTTGGAAAAGACAAATAGTAAAAATAAATAAAATAAGTAGATAAACAAATCTTAAAGAAGTCACACATAAAAAAATTACCAAAACTGGAGACAGAATTGCTTTGCTATACAATTTTATTTTTCATGTTTTGCTTTGTATAATTTTATGCTTTAGTAATCCATCTCTATCAAAGAAAAATCGAAATTTAAACTAATATTTCCACTGGATTCCCATGAAAAAAAATGGGAATTCATAAATCTACCTTGTTTTACCTGTTTGATTTTGGTATCTCCAATCCGTACTTTGCATGTTGGATTGTTCATTTTGCTAAAAATCATGCATTCAGTCTTCTTGTAATTGATACATAGTCCTTTCTTCTTGCTTTCCTTCACTATCTACTCTAGTTCTTGTTGTTTCCTTATTGTATCTGCTATCAAAACTGACATCTGCATAAAATTGTGGCCACCAACAATGAATCCTGATAGGATATTTAATTCCATCAGAATGGCCTTGCTGTACAGATTTAAAAGTTCTGGTGAGAAGACCCATCCTTGTCTTACACCCCTTTTAATTTTTGAATATTTACTGAACTCATTTCCTATTCATATGCAGGTTGTTTCACTTCCAGTATAGCTTCTGAATTATACTATTATCCTTCCCACAAATGTCAAGAGATCTTCAAAAACTATATCTTATAACTAGTAATAATAGAGAGGCTAAATTTAGTATTAGTTGAATTTTTAATGGTTTTTGAGATATATCAATTTTATTGCACTTCATACATCCACCAATATGATTATTGGTGAATTACCTCTCTTGTTTAAAAACCTATTTAAAATGTATACCTTTCTTGCTAATGTACTATTGGGTTAACTCCTACTAATTTTCAAAACTGCTCCTAGGGGATGCTTTCTGGTACTATAAATATTATTTGCACTCTCTTCTTACTTTTCCACTTATACAACAATATGTAAATCTCTTGTGGAAAATCCTGTTCCCTTTTTGGGAAACACATGAACAATACATACACACACATGTACGCGCATTCACTCATTTCACATACTTTGGACCAAAAAGTTTCCACATTCATTTGTTACACACACATTATTGTCTTTTTTACTTGTAAGCCTTTGTTGTTAATACATTATCATTTGTTTGTATATTTATATCACTTCTTGTTTCTTTACATTTCTTTTACATGGACTCATGCTCTGAGTCTGCCATGTTTGTTGTGGGTATTTCAGGAGACACATGTGTTTATCTCACAACATGTTGACCAGCATGCAACACACTAATATCATATATTCACATTTTTCAAGAAATTAACTAGGGCCTCAGGGATGTAATAATTTATATCTCTTAATGGTTGATAGGGTTAAGCAAGAAAAATCTTTCTATGACCAGATCTGGATTTAAATTTCATATATGCATACATGTATGTTAACCCTGTAAACTCTTTTGTGTAGTATAGGGTGTTGATTTTGTGGTTTCTGTAGCAAGTAGGATTTTTACTCACTAGCCTTGTTATCAACCAGCTTTTGAAGCCAGCAAACACCAACAAATGTCAATGACTACAATTTCTTTTCCACATGAATGAATCCAATGATACATGTCTACCTTTATATCCACTTTTATGTCAGATGTCTTTTTTTTATAGACTGCCATGTATAACATAGATACATAGCTGTGTTTTCTTTTTATTGAGGCAGGACTGAGATTAATCTTGCACATAGCAAGGTGAGTCTTGCCTGATAGAGGATCACTTGTCACATCGATCTGATGCAAGGTTTTACAAGTCAGGATGCTCTTCCTGACACACAACTAAGATACTCACTGCAATTCAAGGTGGCATTCAAAGTTTGCGACCCATCCTACCCATATAATATATATATATATATATATATATATAAAGAACAATTTTGAAGGAAAAAGATGTAGGACAAAGTGGAAAAAGTTTTTGTGTGACATGTTTCATTCATTAGGGCTTCATTGGTCTTGTCCTAAAGGATGAAACGCATCACTAAAACCTTTTTAACACTTTGTCTAACACACATATATATATATATATATATATATATATACATATATATATATACATAAAAATAGAAAAGAACCACTAGGTTAATAATCCAAATTTCTTTAGTATTTTTATTTTTTATTTTTAAAAAACAGAGCTCGATACAGCAGTAGAACCTGTGTGTGTGTATATATATATATATATATATATATAAGCTCTTCTATGATTTGAGCAATTTGTTTATTCTAAAATAAATACGTTAAAATTCACCTTCATCTCTGCTGGGAGTTGATAGCTCAGGGGAAAAATCTCCGACTGATGCCAAATTTTAGATTTCGATCCTGGCTTGATGCAGTCAGATGTCTAGCCACACTGATGAGTTGTGATCCATCTAAACAGTCTGTCTGTGCATCACACACACACACACACAATAAATATATATATATATATATATATATATATATATATATGTGTGTGTGTGTGTATGTCTGTGTGACTCTCATCTGTCCTTTGATAAATCTTGTTTTTGCCCTGTGAGGGAACAAGCCACCCTCTTGACCAGCAGAAAAGCTAGTATGAAATCTGGTTTAGATGCCAACTACCTCTCCATGTTGCTAGTTGTACTGGGTTACATGTCACCAGTAGCAGGCCTGACCTGGCTCTTAAAAGGGCAAAAAATACTTATTAGCTATTGGGAAAGTTCAAACTCTACTTACATACTCTACCTTTGAGGTTATGGACTAACAAAATAAAACATGTGGCAAATCTGTTAGAGTAAAAATTTTAAGAATTTGTGGAGAGCCCTGATCACCCATGTCTTCAGGAAATTAGTTCAAAGCAAAAAGAAATTGAAATCATAATCAAGTATATAGGAAATCCTGACACAAGGCGATTTGCTTCTTGTTTGTTTTTTGTTATTTTTCATTCAAGGTTTATGTAGAGAAAAACATGCCCTTTTTTCTTCTTCTTCTGTGGGTCCATATCCTTTTAGGATGTTGGAAATCATGGTTCTCAACCATTTCCTGTCTTATGTAGCTCTTAATAAATTGTCTTTTTGTTGTCTCTTCTAAGCCCTGTTTTCTGACAACCATTTACCACCAGCTCATTAGTTATGCACTGTTTTCTTTCCCTCAGTATGTCATGTGAGTGTCAAATTCTTTAATCCTTCTTTCCTCATTATGTACTGTAGAAATTTAAACTATCTCTGTTAAGTGTAAGTGTCCTTTTTGTTTCCATTTCGTCTAAAACTTTTTCATTGCTCAAGTGTTCAGTTCATTGTATTGTCAACATCATTTTGTAGAACCATGGCTCTGTTGCTTCAAGTCTCATCTTCAACTGCAAGGAGATTGTCCAGCATTTGCTGCATTATGTTAAGGGGTACTTTATATGGATAGGAAGAGAAGATAATTGCTAACTCCAGACTTGAACAGGTTAAGATTGTAGTGATTGGGGGAAAACATCCTCTTGAGAATCTGTTCCACAGGGCTGTGGTCTACAGAAAGAAGCTATTTGTGTGGAACTTGCTGATGGAATATTGTGGAAATGGTTTGCTACTGTGTAAATGGTATGATGGGTCCTAGCCATAAAGGTCACACCTGGCTGACTTAAAACCCAAATAATCTCAGTTCAAAAATTATTTTTTTAAGATATTATTTTTGTATTTTTTTTTCTTTTTTCAGAATAAACTTTTAAAATATTTACTTTGTTGCTTAAAATATATTAATCAAAGCCGAATTCTAAAAACAAAATATATTACAGGTTTATTTGATGGAAATTTTTTCTTTTAAAAAAGAAACATTTCACAGTGGTACAACTGACATACTTCATCTTTTAGCATATTTCTGATATATTATTAAAGAATCTTATTTAATTATATCTGCCTTTTTAATGTACAGAAACACAGAAATATGAATAAAAGCTAAATATTTCTATCACAGAATTAATATAGCTAAAAGCTTTTTTCACAGTCAAACATCATGAAATAAAATTGAAAACCACAGAAGATATTTTGAAGAAAATTTTAGGAAAAATAATCTTACAATCAAGAGGTAATATTTTTTTTGCATACAATTTTATTTTTATTTTAATACATTTTTTTCTTGCTGTGCTCAATGTATTTTAAATTCATCTTTGATATGGAACAGAAAAATAAAATAAATGAATTTAATGAATGAATGAACAAATAACTGACTATAATAATGGCTGGTGGTTCAGGTTTTGTGGAATGAGATCCAGGTTGATGTAGGTACATCCAGTTGTGGGAGACTTTAAGAAATGACTGGAAATTAGAATTTCAAAAAAATCTGTTCTTATGTGTCAAAATTGGTTCATACAGGCTGATTTTTTAATTTTATTTTGTTATGAAATATAAGGCATGAAAGCCACTGACTGCTTAGAAATTGAGGTAATATTTATTTGAAACTTATTTTTAGCATGTATCAGTCCCTCTGATTAGAGACCAAATTTTACCTGTATTTGTGGTTTTCATATTCAGCTGCAGTCTCAGTCATGCCACCCATTATATATATATAATCGACTCTCCCGTCGCGTTCGACGTATGAGGGTCAGGCCGATAAGTCTCCAGGAAACCGACATCCCGACACCGGCACATGAGATTTGATTATAGTGGTGAAGGCCTCGTGCAGGACCAGCCACACTTTTTGGAGGGACGAATACAGAAACCAGGAGGCACGGTGGAGTAATGGATAGCGGCT